AATTGGCCAAGTTGAGAGAAATCACTGCCAGGTGACTGTACCCCACAGTGCAGGCTTATGACCCTCATTTGACCTTGATGCCCGGGTCCCAACCCAAAAGACAAAATCCTCTCTCAAATGTTCCAGTTCCCATTGCAAACATCTTTCACTGTGAGGAGTACAAAAAAAATCATAAACAGTTGAAAAATTGCACATAACATGTAAAGGCATTAAAGCAGAAGAATGTTAGCAATCCATCAGCATCATAAAAAAAGGGCAGGTTGACATCTTTGACATATACCATTTGTTAAACCCGACTGCAATGAGGTTTGACACGGCAAACATTTGACCTCGTCTTTTCTGTTCTCATCTGCACTTCCAGTATTTATTTCAGATTCCCAGCATTTCCAGTCATTTCTTTTTCAAAAGAGAGCAGGTTAAGAGGTGCTCTGATGATACTTGGTGATCACTGAATCCAATATCTGTTCAATTTACTGGAATTTTATTTTTCTATTTCAATTTCAGAAAATCCAATTTAATCTTTATTGACTGAATGATAAATAGCATTAGGTTAGAAGCCAACAGAATTTCAGAAAATTTTCTGTTTCGAATGCTGATGTAATCCAATCCAAGTGAAAAAATCTAATTGTCTAGACCTTAATCCACAGGAAAATCTCCTTATGCAAACAGATGCTTCTTGCTACTCAACGTCTTCAAGAATGTTAACAAAGAAAGAGATAAAGATCACGAATATGAGTATTCTATAGTACATACCAAGTAAAGGATAACTTACTCCTACCTGGCACTGTGTGGCTTGTGGGTGTCTCAATATCAGTTCCTGCTCAGGTATTGTAAAGAACAGGGAGAAAATGATAACTCACTTATGTCTGGTATTATGGTTTATGAATGTCTCAACCTTAACCTCTATGTCTTAAAAGTATCACAGTATCAGTTGCCGTGTGTACCGAATAGACTGCAAAAAAGGAAACATGCTGATACTTATGCATGAGTAATGTATATGGGGAGAAAGGTAAAATTAATTTACCCTTTTGTACAGTTTAAAATGTCTGTAGCCCTTTTCCTCTCCCATATATACACAATACCAACTGCATGAACTGGAAGAATTTACGATTTTTGACATTTATAGAGTAGACTTTAACACTTCCCACCCAAGGGTAACAGTATGAGCTGGGCACAGTAGTTAAGATTATGGGAGGAATCATCATAGATCATAGAATCGCCACAGTGTGGAAATAGGCCGTTCAGCCCAACAAGTCCACACTGACCCTCTGAAGAGCATCCCACCCAGACCCATCCTCCTAACCTATTCCTGTAACCCTGCATTTCCCATGGCTAATGCACCTAACCTACACATCCCTGAACACTATGGCCAATTTAGCACAGCCAATACACCTAACTTGCATATCTCTGGACTGTGGGAGCACCCAGCAGAAACCCATGAAGACACAGGGAGAACGTGCAAACTCCACACAGACAGACCCCCGAGGTTGGAATCGAACATGGGCCACTGGTGCTGTGAGGTAGCAGTGCTAACCACTGAGCCACCATGCCACTAAACTAATAGCTTAGGGGATAATATCTCTATACCAATGACATCCCCATCAGAAGCCATTCTGACATACCCATCAGTATCATTCTGCATTCCTGATGTTTTTTCATTTTTACCAATAATAATTACTTTAGTTGGGCTACCTGGTCTGGCAATGTGACATGCAAGAGTGTGCAATATTTGTATATAAAATTAGTGAAGTATGGATTGAGCAACATAACTCCATCAATATTTCTCCAGTGGGAAATTTGCATTTTTAAAAACCACAGCCTGCATTTTAAAAACTAGCAGAATGAGTGTGAACACATTTTATAAGTTTAGGTTAGAGCAGTTATGCCTATGTCTGTATCTTAAACATCAAAGTTGGCATTGTTGCAATAGAATTTACAAACATTTAGAGCTCCATCTGGGAAAGTGAAACTGCTCAGCAATGTTCACATTACCCCTTTAAGGCAGCCCACAGTTACCATGGAGACAAGAAAGGGGCCAGCTAATTAGTTGACTGCCAATTACATTAATTAAGGGCTGAAGTAAAATCTGATTTAATTACTTGTTTATTATGTTACAGCTAAGTATTCAGTTTATAACCTATATCACTGGACTATGTTGTTCTTTGAAACCACTAACAAATTGCAAGCTCCACTCAAAAATGTTCAACTGACTAGAAATAATAAAACCATTAATTTTTCAAGTAAGGGATGCCAATGTTGGATAATGGAACTCTTCACAATATCTCAGTTAAAGTTATCCCCAGTAAGATGCAGACACAATGAGCCGAATGGCCTTCTTCTGTACTGTATCATTCTATGATTCTGGGCAAGATGCAAGGTAACTCTTCCAAGCTGCCTAACTCACTTAAACCCAACTTCAGAAAAGTTGCACTTCAGTGACAATTCCCTTACAAACTGTTCTGCAGCCTTTACTAAGTAAGCTTGGCAGTTTAAGGCCTTCACTGCAAAGGTGTGGACGATGTTGTGTTATGGGCCCACGCTGATTAGGAAATGATGCGAGGTTGGTCTATTTTGTTTTCACACAGATTCCTATCATCAGCATCAAGAATAAGACCTTTGTCCCATCAGTTTGGCAGTTGAGTGAAACATTCCCCTTGAGTGATGATATTCATTAACATTCCAACCCATCATAAACTTCAAAATGGAATGGGACTTTTATTTGCACCTGATGAACCCATGTATTATTAAAAGACTACTCATATTTTCAATAAATGTTATTAAATGGTTTCTTCGGTAAAGATGGTGAAGAGTTTAGAAGTAGGCCATACTGATCACACAAGGTTCTGCTTTCAATCTTTTTTCTTTCCTGATCTCAACTAAAGGTAACAAATTGCCTCAGCACAGCTGATGTGAGTAACTACCTTTGTGTTTAAGCTAATAAGGGCACTGGTGGTGCAGTGGTAGTGTCCAGACCTCTGAGCGAGGAGATCCTGGTTTGAGCTTTAAAGTTGTGTTATAACATCACTGAGCAGGTTGATTAGAAAATATCTCAAACTATTTCATTTTGGAAGGTCAAATTTGAATGCAGAATACAGAGTTAATGGCAGGATTCTTGGCAGTGTGGAGGAACAGAGGATCTTGGGGTGCACATACATAGATCCCTCAAATAGGGTTGATAGGGTTGTAAAGAAGGTGTATGGTGTGTTGGCTTTCATTGGCAGGGGAATTAAGTTTAAGAGCCATGAGGTTATGCTCCAGCTCTATAAAACTCTGGTTAGACCACACTTGGAATATTGTGTTCAGTTCTGGTCACCTCATTATAGGAAAGATGTGGAAGCTTTAGAGAGGGCGCAGAGGAGATTTACCAGGATGCTGCCTGGACTGAAAGGCAGGTCTTATGAGGAAAGGTTGAGGGAGCTAGGGCTTTTTTCATTGGAGCGAAGAAGGATGAGAGGTGACTTGATAGAGGTGTACAAGACGATGAGAAGCATAGCTAGAGTGGATAGTCAGAGACTTTTTCCCAGGGCGGAAATGACTATTACGAGGGGGCATAATTTTAAGGTGATTGGAGGAAGGTATAGGGGAGATGTCAGAGGTAGGTTCTTCACACAGAGAGTGGTGGGCGTGTGGAATGCACTGCCGGCAGTGGTACTGGAGTCAGATACTTTAGAGACTTTTAAGCGACTCTTGGATAGGCACATGGAGGATAGTAAAATGTAGGGTATGCAGGGTAGATTGATTTTAGTAGGATAATAGTTTGGCACAACATCGTGGGCCAAAGGGCCTGTACTGTACTATACTGTTCTATGTTCTCTGTTCTATGTTCTATTGATTGCATCTAGTGTTCTGTCATGGTAAAAATTGGAGTTAGACAACCCATAGTGAGAAAGTGTGGGAAAATTTATAAAGTCAAGTTGGTACAATTTCCGCATTGTAAAACAAACTTTTGGTGATACTGTGAAAAGAAAAGACAGTCAGAAAAATGATGTAGTGCCTTTCATGATCTCAAATGTTCTGAAATTTTTACAGCCAATTAAGTACTTTTGAAGTGTAGTAACTGTTGCAGTGTAGTAAACTGTTTTTTTGTGAAGGCTTACAAATGAACAAAGACCATTTGGGAGGTCACAGAAGAATGCCTGAGTCACTGAAGTCAATGGCTTCAAAGGAAATGGGAAAAATGTAGGGTGGGAAAGGGATTATTTATATTTACAAATTTACATTGTCAGGACTACCAGCTAAGCCACTTAAAAACTGGATTACCTATTGCTACCCATATAAATGTTGGCAATAAAATAGATATTTTTCTGTGGTGCCACTACAGTTAAAGGAGAAGAATAAATGGAAGCAAATGTATTACGTTTCTCCACTTGAAGATCACACAATCGGGTGAATTTTGGTGTAGAATGTAGACTGAGCAGATGACAGGCTTGTGCTGTGTGTATCTGATGGTTTTTTTTTTGTGATCAGGCCTTATTTGACTTGCAAATGAGCACCAGCACTGCTTACTCTACCATGTGAGAGGGTGGAAAATCCACTGGGGTGAACGCTGAATGAAGTTGTGCTAATACCTTATATAATAGCTTATGAAGCTAAAGATAAAAAAAGCAGCAGATTCTAAGGGCAGGGAAGTTTCTTTAAGCACAATTAGCATCAAAGCAATCAATCTATGAAAGACTCTCAAGAGACCAAAACAACAGACAGAGTGCCAGGTGGAATTGGTAGAAACTAAAGAAATGGCATGGTAGCACATTGACGATATCTTTGGAAGTATATTGTTCAGACTGAGTTGAGGAAATATAATGCAGCATTTGATTGAGCTGGAGGGCTTCTTGCTGAAAGTGGAAAGTAAAATGTTCCATTTACTAGATGAGAATGAAATGACTTCAATAATAACTGTGTGGTAAGGAGGGTTGAACGAGAATTTGCAGCCAGGAAACCTGTGATAATGTACCTTCCACAGGTTTCACTGGATGTAATGAAATGTTTGATTTTTTTTACAGGTTTGCCATCTGCAGACAGCTATGTTGACAACAGAGAAGGGCAGAAGATTGTTGGAAGTGGAAGTGGGTCTGCTAATTACTGGTGGTAGTGTCCAATGAATGCAGAGGTCCAATTTTATGGGAGTACTCTTGGTGGGCGGGGCAAGAAGTCCTGTCTTCCACACATCTCTGTGCCTCCTGAGGCCCAGTAAATATGGCCTGGTGATATTAAATCTAAAAATGGTGTTAAATGAGAGGTACGTAGCCTCCTCAAAATATTTCAGTGACCAATCTGCACATTGAGAGTGGTTGATAACCTTCTCTGAGAAGCTAAAATGACCTTCCATGGACTTCCCATAGTGTCCTTGTCAGCAACACTCACATCCCATGAAAAAGAAATAAAACTCTTGCATTTTGCTATACATTATGTTTCTATTCTGTCTTTGTTTAGCGATATTGGTGTGATTTAAAACTCCAGAATTTCTTCAAATCATCATAAAACCCATTATGAGTCCATTTTTTCTGAAGTGCTCCTCAGCTGATAGGTTTTGCATTGTTAATGACATAGATTAAATGAAACAGGATTGAAACAGAAGTCCAGTAAGTGTTAGAGGGGAGAGGCGGCCAAGAGAAATATCCCAAAAATATGGCATAAAAGTAAATTACTGCCGTTGAAATAGTACATTAAAAAATATTTAGCCTATTGACAGCTGCAAAAATAAAACAAACCTAACAACTCATAAAATTATCATGAAATTCTGTAGTCCTGGTATCATTACATGAATGGCTTGATAATAGAGTAAATAAATTGAATGGAATTCTGAAAGAAATATACTTACAGCATAATCGAGGAGCTGTATTGCAACAAATGAACAATGTTTTTCGAATTAACTCACTCTTTTGTGCTGCCTCCCTGTTCATTGCCAATCATGGCTTGTGTTAACCTTAACATCAGGAATCACAGTGCCAATATCTGAATGGTCAACTATAGGAGAATGGGATGCAAGATGAAAAGAAGCTAGGCTCAAGATATCAGCTTCAATGAGTGGGTAGACATTGGTTAATGCTGCAGAATGGGGCAATAATCCAAAATATCCCAACATGGCAGCCGATGCTGTAATTGGAGTGAAGAAGGATTTATAGTTATCGGCTTCTTCAGTGAGAGGCCCAGTGGTTTTGGGCTGGCAGCTGCTCAACAAGGATACTTGTGACAGTGAAACTTTTTCTGCTGTATCAGTGTTAAGCAGCTGTGGAAAGGCTTCTAGGCTGAGAAAGGACCCTGAAGGAGGGGGCTGCTCTATTCTTCTCTTTCATATGAACAAACTAATAACACAACGAGAACTGGTGAAACAATAATATGGATTATTTATTTGAAGATACAAGTTGAGTTGTGATGACTTGCATTGCAGGAGATCCATCCACAAATTCTGTGGAGCAGAGTTCTGAGGCAAGACAAGAAGGTTCCCTTGTAACCTGATTTTTCTACAATGCAGTTATATCAAAAACAATGAAAACATAGTAAAGCAGTATTTTCAATTTTTTCACAACTTACAATGGCCTGACCTTATTTGGTAAAATGCATTCAACAAAATTGGGAGTTGGGTCTTGTTACAATAACAGGATAACAAGCCAAACAAAATCAGCCTCACTATCACTGGATTCACCACACAGTGAAATTAAAACATTCAATAACTCTCAAATTAGCTCAATTGTTCATAACCAGACTTTACAAATAAGGGTTCTTGGACACCAAGTTTATAACTTAAACAAAAATTAACGATTTATTACAGTAAATGTAACTTTAGCAGGACACAAATAAATAATAAGGCTATCTAATTAATGTCAATGATCTAAGCCCAATCTTCATTGATAATAAACAAACAGATACAGCAAAGGGATAAATTGAAAAAGAAAATAACGGTGGTAATTTACCAGTTCAATAACTATTTCAAAGATGAATACCAGGCCTTCATGAAATCCTTGGATGATGGTTTGTATTATAGGCACATAGGAATGGATATCTTGCTTGAATTTTGAAGTTTCCTGTCAATACAAACAGCCTCAGCAGACTTCCAGAATTATTCACTCACTCCTTACAGACTGGAATTTTCTTCTCAGAACATCAACAAGTTGATAATCAGAGTGAAACCAGAGAGAGCAAAACAAAAGCATCCAGGAGATTTTGGAACATAAAACTGTCTGCTGCTCAAAACCCACTCAGAACTAGTTCACCCTTTGTTTTCTCTTTATTCCTTCAGCATTCTCTGTGGTTGTTTGGTCAGCACCAGTCCTCCCTTGATTGGCCAATTCAACGCCCAACCAGCTATCATCCCTGAGCATAGCAATGTCTTAGTGCCAAATTTTCTACAGTGCCCTTAGAACACTAATTAACCTGCATTATCTTTCCAGGCCAATTCCCCACAATAAACATAAGACTTTGTTCTCGCTTTTTTTAAAAAACAAGATGCTGTTCAAAGTTCAAAGTTCAATTCTCTACTTCAACTTGCAGTTCCAAACCAAAAATGAGAAAAATAGATTTAAAATAGTGATGGTCTCAATATCTCTGGAACAACTAAATAATCTTTCTTTGGTCCAACACATCGACTTTATGCAAGTGCGATACAATCTGCCATGATACCAATGCAGTCAAAAGTATTATCTCTGGTTTTGTCCTGTGGTGCAGAATCCTGGAGCATCTCTATGGCCTTTGGGGCTTCAGGTAGGAAACAAGCAGGTGAGTGGGGTGGGGCATTCATCGATTATTCAGCTTCCCCTCTTGAAGAACATACATCATCCATGATTACTTTGTTTGTTAGTTCCATTGTGCAGCATTTCAGCAAATATTTTCATGATTGCCCAGAACTCTGTAATTTCACATCCTAGCACGGCCTAACTCTGTTCCAATTAGTTATATACCTATAATGGCCATATGCATGAGATTGGATAATCTGGAGTTAACAGACTGGAGGTTGAGTTTAGCTCAATTGAGATGAGAAAGAGGGTGGAGAGGTTTTGTGAGGGAAATCCAGTTCTAAAAGCCTGTCCATTTGAAGGCATAATCATCAAAGACTGAGTGAGAATGTGCAAGAGTCCAGAATAAGAACAGTGCAGAGATCTTGGAAGAGAGAACAGCTGCTCCAAATAGAAATGGTAGTAAACAGACCAAATCCCACATATGCATTGCTAGACTACATCTTTCCTGTACTTGGTGGATCAAAAGTCCCTAGAAGAAAGTGAGAGTGTGAGGTGAGAGGTAACATATAGAGAGAAATAGATAATGCTACAGCTTAAATTCCAGCCAATATCACACTGTCAGCATAATGACTGCATATCAATAGCAATGTCATTTAAATTCAATTTTCGTGAAATAACAGTTGAAATTTAGCAATCCCCAAAATATCTGTAGAAATCTTAGATTTATCTTATAATAAAATTTATTTTGACTAATGTAGTCACCATAAACCATTAACCCTGATCATATTCTCATTGAGTTGTCTGCTTTTTTAGAGATGGTGACAGGTTCTCTAATTTTATCTGCTCTTGCTAATTTTTGAATTTGGCATGTTGGTGAATTTAGAGGGGCTCTTGAGGTGCATGGCAGTCTCCCTAAGTCTGACGCAGGAGGCTTGGGTTCAAGTCCCCTCTGCTCCAGGATTGTGTAATAACACGTCTGGAAATATGGATGAACATATCTGTGTATTGATTTAAACTAATTGGGCAAATATTAAAAACATTGATGGCAAAAAGATTGCAGATTCAGTTCCAGAGGTGTGAAATTAGCTGATCTCTACCCATTGGTAGTTCTATTATTAGTTCCATTAGGCCATTGAGGGATCTGATTTGGGAGGGGGAAGTCACCGAGGGCTCCCATTCCTGTTTGCTGCAAAGTGAGATGAGTGAGTACATTGATGTTGGTTGAGGATTGGACTCAGTCAGCTGATTCCTCAGATGAAGAAATTATCTTCTAAGGAAAGGTTCAACAGGTTGGACTTATTCCTAGTGGACTTCAGAAGATTGAGAGGTAATTTTATTGTAACATGCAAGATCCAGGGGGGACCTGATAGGGTTAATGCTGAGAAGATGCTTTCCCTTGTCTGGTATTCTAGAACCAGGGGCACAGTTTAAGTTTGGGGTTTCCCATTTAAAATGAAATAAAGATATTTTTCTTCTCTCAGACAGTGGTAGAGTTTGGGTCATTGTATATATTCAAGATTGTGTTAGATGGATTCTGATCTGCAAGGGTGTCAAGGGTTATGGAAAATACAGTTGGAGCCACAATTCGATTAACCATGATGTTATGAAATGCCAGAAGAAGTTTGAGGGGCTGAGTGGACTACACCTGCTCCTACTTCTTGTGTTATTGTGATTTTTCATTGGACTTCTTAGTGATTACCTCATTGTCACTGAAGCTAACTATCTGGGATCCCATATGATGAATGACTGCTTGGGTGAAACACAGTGGGGGGTTGGGGGAACAGAAAGTAGGGGTAAAATTTAACTAAATACATGTAGCCCATCATGACTTATTTTATAGGTGTAGAGGAAGATAAACTTGACATGAAAAATAATCAACAGGATAAATAAGGAACAAAAAGGAATGGGGACAATATTTAAGCAAAATTTAGTCATTGTAAGAGAAATGATATGACACTAAAATAAAGATAATTTTTTCTTTTCTGCAGCAAAGAATTAAAATTGAATACCAATATTTTAAGATTTTACCATAAAATTAATAACACAAAATAATTGGCTTAATTGCAGGAATAATTGTGTTGTATTTATTAGGGACAAGCAATGTAAAAACACCGAAGCTTTACTATGATTTGGCTGAATGAAATGTGTTTGAAAAAATCAACTATGAATGACATGGCAGATCAGATCCAGTTTGTGACATTCCCAACAGCAGCAGAGGAATAGTGGCAGTGCCGGCACTGATTGTCAGAGGCTGGGAAAAGAACGGTGAATGAGAAAGATGGCCCAGCCTCTTGGCATTGTTCCATTGCTCCACTGACTACCAGCAAATGAAGACAAACAGAGAGAGCTTGCCCAATCAACATTCATTACGGAAAAATGCTGTCAGGGGCCAATGCCCTCTGCTAATCAGAAACATGGGCCAAATATAAAACTTCCATTCTTCCATGGTACAGCTGGCACTAGTTAATCAGGACATTACTAATCAGGTTGGCTCCAGGTGTAAGTGATGCCTGCAGCTGCCAAGAGATTACTAGTTAATTTAGCTGAGTATTTTTGGGCTTGTAATAAATTTCAAATATCTAACAGGATAATCTGATTGACTGAACTAGAAGATTGTCAGTTTGTCAGAAATTTACCCTAAGGAATAACTCACCTCTGCACATATTTGCTGGAGACTAGCATCTACA